TGGCTCTTGACCAGCACCTCCAGTTACTTGTCCACTGGGCCACTTTCCAAGCACTCTGCCCCAAGCTTGCTGTGGTGCATGGGGTTGTTGTGAACTAGGGTCAGAACTCAGCACTTGGCCTTGTTAAGTCTCACACAGTTGGTCTTGGCCCATTGATCTAGCCTGTCCAGATCCCTCTGCAGGGCCTTCCTACCTCCAGCAGATCAGCACTCCCACCCAGCTTGGTGTCATAGGGTGAACTTGTTCCCCTTGTCTACATCATCAGTAAAGCTATTAAACAAGACTGGCCCCAATACTGAGCCCTGGGGAATGCTAGCTGTGACTGGCTGCCAGGTGGATGTAGCTCTGTTCACCGCCACTCTCTGGGCTCGGCCCTTCAGCCAGTATTCTACACAGTGAACATTGTATCCATTCAGGCCATGAAGTGCCAGTTTCTCCAGGAGAGTGCTGTGGGAAATAGCATCAAAGGCTTTACTAAAATCCAGGTAGATGACATCAACAGCCTTTCTCTCATCCACTGAGCAGGTCATTTTGTTTTAGAAAATCAGGTTGGTCAATCGTAAAACAATGCTGACTGGACCTAATCCTCTATTTGTCCTGTAAGTGCCATGTATGGCACTCAAGATGGTGTGCTTCTTGATCTTCCCCAGTACTGAGGTCAGGCTGACAGGACCATTGTTCCCCAGATCCTTGTTCTGACTTTTCTTGTAGACGGGCATGACATTTTCTAACTTTGAGTCAGCTGGAACTTCCCTGGTTAGCCAGGACTGCTGGTAAATGGTTGAAAGTGGTTCAGTGAGCATTTCTACCAGCTCCCTCAGTGCCTTTGGGTGGATCCCATCCAGCCTCATAGACTTATGTAGCAGATAACTGTTCATTTCCCCTTGGATTATGGGTGCCTCATTCTGATTCCTGCCTCTCTTCCAGCTCAGAGGACTGCGTACCCAGAGAACAACTGGTCTTGCTATTAAAGACTGAGGCAAAGAGGGCATTAAATACTTCTATCTTTTCCTCATGCCTTGTTACTGTATTTTCCCCTGTATCCAGTAAAGGATGGAGATTCTTCTTAGCCCTTCTTTCGTTACTGATGTATTTATAGAAACATGTTTTATTGTCTTTTATGGCACTAGTCAGATTAAGGTCTAGTTGGGCTTTGGCCCTTCTAATTTTCTCCCTGCATAACCTCACAACATCTTTGTAGTCCTCCTGAGTTGCCTGCCCCTTCTTTCAAAGGTCATAAACTCTTTTTTTTTTTCCTGAGTTTTAGCCAAAGCTCTCAGCTTTCTCTTCAGCCAGACTGGTCTTCACTGTTCATATTTCAGCACATGGGGATGGCCCTCCTCTGCACTTCTTAAGATTACCTTCTTGAAGAATGTCCAGCTTTCCTAGACTGCATCCCAAGAGACTCTGTCTCTTGAGAAACTAGGTCCCTCAATGGGGCAACATCTTGTCTCCAGAATTCAAAGTAGCTGTCCTGATGGCCTCCTTTCTTTCTTCTCTGTGAATTGAAAACTATCTTTTCATGTTTGCTCTGCCCAAAATGGCCTCCAGCCATCACTTCCCCCACAGGTCCTTCTCTGTTTACAAACAACAGATGCAGTGGGGAGCCTTCCCTAGTAGGCTCCTTCACCAGCAGTGACAGGCAGTTATCTTCTGTGCACTCCAGAAACCTCCTAGACAGTTTCCTTTCTGCTGTATTTTGTTTTCAGCAGACATCTGGTAAGGTGAAAGTTCCCCATGAGAACAAGGGCTAGTTACTGTGAGACTTCTCCTACCATTTCATTTCCTCTTCATCCTGCTGGCTGGTCTGTAACAGACTTCCACCATGATATCTGCTTTGTTGGACTTCCCCTGATTCTTACCCATAAACAACCCTATTGTCACCATCATTATGCCCTAGACAATCAAAACACCCCTTGACATACAGGGTTATGCCACCACCTCTCCTTCCTTGCCTATCTCTACTGAAAAGTTTATAACCATCCATTGCAGCGTTCTAGTTGTCTGAGTCATCCCACCATGTCTCCATGATGGCAACTGTGTCATAGTTTTACTCCTGCACAGTGCCTTCCAGCAGTTTGTTGCCCATGCTGCATACGTTCATGCAGATGTACTTCAGTTGGGCTGTTGATCCCACCTGCTGTTTGGGAGCCAAGCCCTAAGCCTTATGTGACCATTTTCAGTCACTTCCATGGTTTCTAATATGTCAATAACCCTTGTGGCTTTGCTGCTGCTTGGATCTCTGTCCCCTGCTTCCACTGAGGTGGCAAACCAAAGGAGCTTGCTAGCACAGTGCCCCTCAGATGTTGGTGTGCTGCCCCAGGAGTATCTCTAGTGAACCTGTTTTTAATTCTTTTCCTGTTCAAATCTAGTTTAAAGCTTTTCAGTGAGCCCTGCTAACTCCTGAGCAAAGATCCTTTCCCTCCACCTTTGAGATAGATATGCCCCATTTGTTGCCAGCAGGCCTGATGTCCTATGAACCAGCCCATGATCAAAGAAACAAAATTCTGTCAGTGACACCAGAATCAGATATTGTAGAATGGTTTGGTTTGGAAGGGACCTTTAAAGATAATCTAGGCCAACTCCCTGCTGTGATCTGGAACATCTTTCACTAGGCCAGGTTACTCAAAGCCCCTTCACCTGACCTTGAATATTTCCATTGATGGGGCATTTACAAGTTCCCTGGGCAGCCTGTTGCAGTGTCTCAGCATGCTCATTGAAAAGTTTCTTGTGTCCAATCTAAACCCTACCCTCTTTCAGTTTAAAACTGGTTCCCCTTCTCCTCTCACTACAGGGTTCAGTAAAAAGTCTTTCTTATAAGCCCCCTTTGTATATTGAAAGGGCGAAATAAGGTTTCCCTGAAGCCTTCTCTTCCCCAGGCTGAGAGACCTCAAACTCTCTCAGCCTTTCTTCATGAAGTTTTGCAGCCCTCTTGCCATTTCTGTGGCCCTTCTCTGGGTGCACTCTTTCTTATGAGGAATAGCTGAGAGAGCTGAGCCTGTTCAGCCTAAAGAAGAGATGACAGAGAGGAGACCTGATCAGTATCTGTAAGTATCTGAAGGGAGGGTGTCCAGAGGATGGAGCCAGGCTCTTCTTGGTGGTGCCAAACAATAAAACAAGAGGCCATGGGCAGAAACTGATGCACAGGGATTTCCACCTGAATATGAGGAAGAACTTTACTGTGCAGGTGACTGTGCACTGGAACAGATGGACCAGAGAGCTTATGGAGTCTCCATCACTGGAGAAATTCAGGAACCGTGTAGATGCAATCCTGGGCAATATGGTCTAGGAAGATCCTGCTTGAGCAGGGAGGTTGGACCATTGACCCACTATGGTCCCTTCCAACCTTACACATTCTGTGATTCTGCAATTCTGTATCCAAGCACAGTTACTGTAATTTAGAGATAATTAGTTACATTGCTTATTAGTTAATACTATTTTTTTATTTCTTATGCATGCCTGACGAGTGTTGTACTATTTCAAAACTTCAGGTAATTATGTTGTACTTTGGTTACTACAATTAAGGCTAATAGGAGTAGGGAAATGACCGAACTACTCTCTTCTCAAAAGACTGTAAAAATAACTTGTGTTACTGAAGTCTTACTTTTTTTCTGGCTCTCTAAAGGTTAGAACATTTGTTGGAAACTTTTAGTTTCTTTTAGCTTCTAAGGGGCCAGATACTATTAATGTCTTCATCAGTAACAGTAGTGCTGATGTTTTTTTTTTGTTGATAATTGTATAATCTCCTCATCAAACACTCCCACATGCAGGTATATGCAGAAAAAGACGAAACTGATCATTGGGAATGTTCTGTGGGGTGGAAATAAACGCCATGTGAAATGTGTAGCACTCTGACGCCGGTGCTTGTTTATTTGGATTTATATAGAGGTGGATGTGCTCAGAAATTCTCTGCGTAAGGTGGTACTAGGCAGTGGAGATTTTCAGGTAGTAAGTAAAGCAATGAAGAAATTATTTTTTTTAATTCTCAAGCATCAACATGTTTCTTCTTTGCATATATATGACAGTGGATCAAGAACTTGGTGATGGCTTTGAGCAGATTGAAGACCGTAACCATTGCCTGATTGATCCCTGCATTGGATCAAACAACTTTATATTTCTTGTTAAAATATATTTTCTGAGTTTTTCTTCATTAAAACTAATACTACAAATGAAAAGCAGTAGGTGAATATAAGGTGAGAGATAGTTAAGGTGGATGATGTTTGTAAAATTTTTCAAATTCACCTGTCATTTTTCAACATTTTTTACATGTACTTTGTAGTACAAATATTTTTATGATTTTTTTCATACAAATCCTCTTCTGTTCTTTTCTGTTGCACAGGTTGTCCTGTGTCAGTTAATGGAAATAGTGAGTACACACAGAACAGTACCATATGAGTGGTATCATGTTAGAATTTATACATTGTTGTGCAGCTGCAACACTGAATGAGGCATAGTTTATGTGGGATTAAGAAGTGAACTAACACTGAAAATTAAAGGAGCACCCAAACCCAGAAAAACAAACATGTACTAAAATGAAGGTGTGGGATTATCCATACTATTATTAGTACTTGTTATGTAAACTCTTCATTATGTAATTTCAAACCTCTTCTGTTGGATAGCTATTTTATTTTGAAGATGTAGACAACACCTCTAGAATTTAAAAACTGGAATGCTCTTTCTCTAAGATGTGACTTCACATGGAAATTTCTCTGTGCTACTGCTACTTGTTGTTATGAGCTGCAGTTCAAAAGAACATAAAATGCTCATTTAATAAGTTCTACCATCTTTTTTTTGCCATCTTAAAATGCACTCATGTTTAACAGATTCTCAGCATACCACTTGAAATAGCAGTATTTGGACACCAGCTGAAAAAATAGGTGGAATACCTTATGAGGGAGGAACATGCATCATTCTTTTGTTTAACAACTTGCTTCAACAGATTTTATTTTTGGGGGTACATTTGTGTCGGAACTTTTTTTAAATTTTCATATGCTCAACAGATTCTGAAGGAAGTGGTCATGGGAGTGAAGATGCATCAAAGGACAGTGGTGAAGGTTCCTGTACTGAATCAGAAGAAAATATCTTGGAGGAGGAACCAGCAGAAGTGAAAGTAGAAGAGCAACAGCCAAAAAGCTCCACTGAAGAAGAGGTACCAACAGCAGACAAAGAAGTAATTAAAACTGAAAAGAAAGAGCAAGAAGATGAAGAAGAAAAGCCAAAAAAGAAGAAAGAGAAGGAGAAAGCAGCTGAACCGGATGCTGTGGCTGATGAGCAAACAAATGAACCAAAAAAATGGAATTTGCGCAGGAACCGACCTCTGCTAGATTTTGTATCCATGGAAGAACTAAACGATATGGATGACTATGACAGTGAAGATGACAATGACTGGCGGCCTACTGCTGAGAAAAAAAAAGGAAAAAATGCTCTGCGAAAGGAGGGGAGTGATGGAGATAATGAGGATGATGAAGATGATGGGAGTGGAAGTGATGAGGATGACAATGATGAGGAAGGTAATGAAGAAGATAATAGCAGCACGGCTAGTGATGGAGGATCCAAGAAGAAGAAGAGTAAAGTTCTTAACAGGAATAATGCAGATGATGAGGAATTGACAAATGATAGCCTGGCTCTTTCACAAAGCAAGAGTAATGAGGTAGTGCAACCAACTTTCTATAATATATCTGTTGACAAATAGAAACTACTCCCCAGTAGCTAATTATTAACAGTAGCTGTTAATTTGAAAAACTGATTGGCTGGACTTGTGTTTACACAATAATAAGTGAGTAAGTGAAGCTGCAAAATCATTGTAAATAGGCACTGCTTATTAAATAACTTCACTTGAACTATTTGGCCAATCTAATGCCACTAAAGTCAATAGAGAGACTTCTCTTGGATTTAGGGGTGTTGGATTAGTGCCAAAGCAAGTAGGAGGTCCAGTATGCAAATCGACATATTTTAGCCAGACTTCTAGTTCTGTTTTAGTGTAAATGCTGCATATCCTGAAAGTTCTAAAATTTAAAAGCATCTGTGACAGTCATAAAATAGATAAGCAATACCTTTTTTTTATCCTAGCTCTGCTTTATGACAAACATCAAAGTCTGAACACTAAGTTCACTGATAGAAGAATTTTAAGTAAAGAAATATGCACATTGGGTTTAAAGTCAAGCAGAATAATTGTGATAATTTATGTAGGGTTTGCTTATAATATTCAAAAAATGAGCTAATTTCTTACTAAAAAGCTTTTGGGACCTATGGTTATTATATTAAATATCTTCTGGTTGCAGAATGTGCAAATTATAATCAAGCAACTTTTTTTTTTTTTTTTTTTGGCTATGCAGTTAGAGTTGCCTTGAAGGTTGTGCCTGGGGAAAAATTAAGACATTAGGTTGTCAGTATGGCTGGCTTTGTCCTGCAGTAGCAAAATTTTGAACACAGTGAAAAGAATTGCTGTAAAATCTACAGAAACACCTGCAATGTCAACATTTGAGAAATGATAGTATATGACACTATTTATAGTTCTACTGTTCCCTTTAAACTTTATTTTGCTGTGTAAAATGACAGGGAACTAAACAGTATTTTGAGGAATCCGCTGTATCCATTTCAGATACTTCAGTATGTATTTTGTATATATGATTGCAAATGAGCTGTGCTGTTTTAATTACTCTTAGTAATTAGAACTGATAAAAAAAGCATAATTCTTGGTTTTTTTGTTGGTTTGTTTTTAAATGTTTTATATAGGCATCTTTCATTGTTGAGCTCTGTCATTCTAGTATTGTTACCTGTATTCTCTTGGCTCAGGAGTTGAAAGTCCCTATCAGAACTTCAAATAGAGATAGTAAGTTTTCTTCAAAAGCTGTTTACTATATCAGAATGGAGATGTGAGGCTACATTCTTAGTGATATATTCTTGAATATCTCCATAGTTTCCACTGATTTGAAACATTAGACCTGTTTCAGAAATCCAGAGCTGTCTCTGATGTATCTTCTGTGAAGCTTCTCAGTATGTGTGGATCTCAGATTCTGTTCTTGCCTTAGATTTAGGATAGTGATCAGAACATAAAATCAGATTTTGAAAATTTGAAGTTCAAATGACAATTTTGTAACTGATAATTAATCTTTATTGCATGTAAAGCCCAGTACTGCACTGTTTATGAGTAGGTCTGTAACAGGAAGTCTTGTAACAGTGAGTATCTATAGACTGAACTATAGACTATAATTTTTAGATTTGTATGATACTCAACTGTATTGTTACAGTGTACTCTCCACTACTGCATTGTTTTTAAATAGTAAAAAAAAAAAGTTAAAAGTTCTTGCCTAGCAGACAAATCAAGCAAAATCTCATTACGCTGAAGAAGCTGAGTTCTTAGAAAACCAGATGTCTGAATGCATAATTAATTTATGTAAGAATGTTCAGGTAATGAACTCTGAACATGTTACAGTGTCCTTAATATGCATTCTTCCTTCATTTTTTCTTTTACTTACTTTTGGGAGGTGGATGTTGGTATGGGTGTTGGAGGTGGGTTGTTTGTTTTTTGTTTCTGTGTGATTTTTTTTTTTGTTACATTTGACAAAAATATTTTGAGGTCTGCATATACAATATTTTAATGTATGCTGTAATTAAATACTGTGTACTTTTCTATTGTATTATGCAGAGAATACAAACTTAGCTTTCTTTCCTAAGGTCAAGCGTCATTAGTAGATAAATGGTGCTTTTCTGTTTTTATAATTGCTACCACTTTATAGGATTCTTGTATTCTCAGTGAGGTGGTCATTGTATTTTTGAATTTTTTTTCCCCTTTAAAGTTAGAAGTCTATAGGCATATAGCTTGAAATGCTCATTTTCTTCATTACCACCACAGAAATGGGAATTACATAGTGATTCAGCTGAAATAGTTTCTCTCACTTCAGTAGGGTACAGGACTTTTTCAGTTGGCAGCAGTTACTATCTCTGTGTAAAATTTCCCGTGTTTTAGATGAGTAGGGTCATTCAGGTGCTTTACATGGACTAAAAAGCAGGGGAGAGTTGCATGTTTTCCAGATCATTCCCTCTCTGTGTCTGCATAGAAAAATAAGTTACTCAGCTGCTTTGTTTGACCTGTTGGCTGTCCACACATAAGGTAAACTATAAAGGATGGGGATCCTAAGATTTAGTCCAAATTTGATGTCTTTTCATCTTTGCTTGTTCCGGGTTTTTCTCTGTCCATGTTTGCTTACGTTCTCACTGCCCGAACAGCTAGTGTTATTTCAGTTTTGTTTTTACAGTGCAATTCTGTTTATTTAATTTAAAGTAATAGTTTTGTTTTACTTCTTTTTTTAATTACCAAACATTGGGCTTCTCTAACAGTAGAGATCACAAATTTCTTTTAAACTTCTCTTAGTGAAGCCAAATAACAGCTTAAGTTGAAGGTACTCTCAGAAGACTTGATATCTATAGAGTTGAGATGAATTGGAGAAAGAAACCTGTGCCACTGGATAATGAATCTGTCAAAGTTAGGGAGTATCTACTGCCATTTTCCTGTGTAATGTGAGTGGTAAGCTAACCATGGGTGTTTTGAGTAATGATGGACCACAGAAATGTCCAAGTTTATTGCATTCCTCAAAAAGCTTTGCAACTTTGTCCTTTTATTTTTCACAGTTAATTGCCCTTCTCTGAGCAACATGACTGTGTGAATGTTCATTTCTGCTTCTAGAGGAGGTCATGTTTCCTTAGGCATAGTATTGGTGCTGTATTTTGGGTCTGAAATGGAGGGCTTAGAGTTAGAAAAATACATTTGATAGGGCATCTTACACCTTAATTTTATATTTTTTTTCTGGTAGGATGCCACAACAGTTTTGGAAAATATTCACATCTTTGGTATTTTGAACGGATGCCACTTAGGCTTGAACTCTAACCCTCTGCTTTGAAACTATTGCTGATTCTTTGTACTGCAGTAGGTTATTTTTCACTAGTGTGCATAATTTCACACTTCTTTATATACCTTCCTGTCGCCAGTGAAGGTAGTTCAAACACAAGTGAAAACTTTGCAGAAGAGACAGTGGCTGTATCTCACAATGGAAATAGGAAGCCTAGATGGCTTCTGTGTTTCCTTAAAGTAGTTCCCTATTAAAAGCCACATTCTATTTAAGTGCTGTTGTTCATATTGCAGGTTGCCAGAACATAGCAGTGTACTTGTTCTGCAATTCCTTATTCCTGTATTTAATTAGAAGAACATCGTACTTGTTCTGCAATTTTTTATTCCTGTATTTAATTAGAAGAACATAAGTTGTTAGAATTTTAATAAATCATAGGGGTTTGTGTAGAGACATATAAATTTGGATTACAACAAAATCATACTGTTGATAATTTGTCATATTTTATGTAAGTGAAAACTTGGCTGGTTGTGTTAGCTGTTTGCTTCTGGATTTTTCAGATCCATGTGATTCTTTTTTTAAATGTTAACAAAATGAAGGAACTTTCCTGAATGTTGGAACGTGTGAGGGTCACCTTTGGCCTTTTTTTTAAATGGTTGCTTAGGTGTTTCTTTGTGTACAACATAAATGGTTTAAAGACATATGTTTCTGTTGTAGGAAATAACTCTTCTCTGGCCTTTGGATCTTAACAGGTCTGTAGGTTTATTGAGATCCAGCTATCCTTTCTCTCAGGTCTTCTTTTCATAGATGAAGTGTTTTGAGTGTTTTGACAACAAAGAAAATAATTTTCCATCTTTTTTTGATTGTTATTCAAAAATTGAGCAAATTACAAATCTTCTGTTTGTTTTAAATAAAATTGAAGTTCCTGGTGTAATCTATGTGTCTTCATTTTTCAATATCAGGACTCATTGATCCTTGAGAAGTCTCAAAATTGGAGTTCCCAGAAAATGGACCATATTTTGATTTGTTGCGTTTGTCTTGGAGATAACAGTGAAGATGCTGATGAAATAATCCAGTGTGACAACTGTGGAATAACAGTGCATGAAGGTAATACTACCCTTCATTCTCATTGCAGGAGGAAAGCATATGCTTTGCTTTTAATAAAATTTTGACTTGCTTTCTTCAAAATAAGTGAAGCCTTTTTACTCTGAGATGTAATTTTTTGTACTGCTACATTGTTCTTTTTTAGTGGTGTAACACCCATCTTCTACTTTAGTCAAGCAAATATAAGCACCTGCAGAACAGGACATGCTCTGCAGATCCCAATGCAGTGAATCACAGTCTGCAAATATTGGAGCTATATATACACTGTGTTTTCAGGGCTTTAGGATATTCTGTTAAGGTATTTTTGTCTTACCTATTTCAGCATATGAATTTGATTGTGTAACTGGGATAAAAGGTCATGAGAATAGGAGGTCTTCTAAAAGGAAAGATAATTTGACCTATATTTTTGCTGTACCAAAAAAGCAGAGAGATGAGGAAGAGGAAAGGAATTGTCCATGGTGTTTAGTTGTGAAGACAGCTGACCTTGAACTTCCTTATAATTTTCACTGATGAAACAGGGAAGTTTTGAAGTTAGAACATACTCAATTTCATCTTTTGGTAATTCCTCCAATATCTAGACTATGTGTAATAAGTGTAGGAGGTCTGGTTTATTATCTTTAATTTAAAGAAACACTTCTAGAATAATTCTTAGATGAAGGTATGGAATTTTACCAGCCTTACATGGAAAATGAGACTGTAATGTGTGTTGTTGCTCTTTTCTCTTGAGGTTGGAAGGTAGGGTAGGTCCTAACTGAGAGAATCACACCTAATTTGTTAAAAACAAAGCTTTTTTTTTTTTCTCCATTGATCCGTTTGATGCTTTTTTCCTGGTATCCTGTACTGTTATAGGACTTCACCTTTTTTCTAAGATTTCCCTGGAAAATGAGATAGGCTACTTCAGTTCTTGAAATTAAAAGAAGGTAGGCTCTCGTTCTTCAGAAGCATGCAAGGTATTTATTTAATTTATGTGACTCCCTGCATTTGAAATCTTTTTGAGCTGTTTAGCATGCCTTTCCAGGTAGTAAGAGATTTTATTTCTCCCCTACTCCCCCTTAGTTTTTTCATACTAGATAGAAAATTATTTCAAACCAGTATTTTTCATGCATTGGGATGTAGTTCAGTCCTTTGTTTGGCATGTTATGAAACTGAGATGGAATTTCTGTCCTCAGGTGGCTTATATTAAATGTCCATGTGTACTTTTAACTCCTGAACCTGTTGTGGTCTTTTGAAGAGCTAAGCCATACTGACAATGTTGCTTAGAGAGCAGTTTAGTTGACCTTATTTATGGTGAGCTGAATCACACTCCAGGTGCCTTGGAGAGCATTAGTCAGGTCATACTGTCTACATGTGTTAGGCTCCTAAGTTTAGGTGTTGGTATGCTTGCAGAATTCTTTCCTCTGTGTCCGTGAAGTTTTTTTGGAAGTAATGTGCAGAATATATTTCATTTGAGATGCAATAAGTGACTAAAAGTTAATTTTACAGAGTCCTGATTTTCTTTTCCCTCCCTCACCTAGTCTAATATTAACTCCTGAGGAAAAAAAACAATTTCAAAGTGTCTGTTGCTGATAGCTATGAATGCCTACTTAAGAATTCCCCAAACATTACATGTAGTCAATACATCTAAACTCTAAAGCTGTGGAGCTCCCTGAAATTTTTCTGTAGGATTTTATTTAATGATTGTGTGGTTAGTATTGCTAAAGTGCTGAATGGTTGTGATAGAAAAATGATCTTCTGCCTCTTCAGAATGAAATGATGGCAAATTCGGTTTTTATTCAAGAGGAGTGCCCTAAAAATCCCCAAAAGATCACTTGCTCATTTTGTTTAGTTTACTGAACCTTAGTTCCTACAAAAGGCAAGATTATAACTGGCTTTCATCTGCAGGAAAATAGATCCATGGTTCAAAAGTCACTTAAATTTTAGTAGTTGAAAATCTGTTGAACAGTAATTGCTGCTATTCTTCTTTTTACAGTGTTCTAGGCAAAGATTCCATATAGTCCCACTGATACAAAGAGTACAATGCGTGTTTCTTTTGTTGCTATTGCAACAAAGTAAAATAGATTAGTATCAGAAGATTTAATTTGCTAGTTTGTTCTGGGAAATTCTACAGCCTGTACTAGCCAGTTTACTATAGAGGCTGGTTAATTTTTCAGCCTTACGGTTCAATGTTTAGCTCTTTGCAATTGATTTTAATAATAACAACTTAAAAGCATACATAAAGCATTTGGGATGTTCTGTTTGAATAGATCAAGTCTTAGAGAAAAATAAGCAAACTGTATTAGGTGAAAGTAATTGATGACTATCATAAAAATGTACATTTCCCTGGCAACAATTTGAATTCTTTGCCAGTTCTGTGCCAAATACAGTTTGGAGTTTTACTTGGTGTTTTATGTGTGTATTTCATTGCTAAATATGTATATCAATTTGTAAATACATGAACTTCATTTCAAGTAGAAATGAACATTTGTTTTGGTGTATTTTTTCTGTGCTTTGATATTTTATAATGTAGTGAGCAGGTGCTATTTTAAGTCAGGGCTTGTTTCATTCATGTGTTAAAATAATTGCTTGCAGCAAATAAAAATGTTCTAAAAATTTAAGAACCTTTGAAGCTGTAGTTTCAGTGATCTTATAAATACATGTGTTCAATAACTTGGAGATTTCTGCACTCCTGCCCAGTGGCCATTGATTGGCTGTATTACTTCTGAATGTGTGAGTAGTACACGAAGACACTGCCTGTCATTTGGAAGTTGTAGTCAAAACCAGCATATGATGCAACAGTTATCAGTCCTGTTGACCTAATCATTCAACTTGGGTAATTTCCAAAAGAAAATTGAAAAGTAGTTGAAATGATAATTACTGTCTAATCATATAAACATTGCTTGCAACCTTGAGAATTATTTTTTTATTGTTAGTAGTGGCAGAGTTAACTCTTAATGTAATTGGCTTTAGTCTGTACCTTGTAACTCTGTGCCCAGATCATGGTCATAGACTGTTACAAGGAGTCCTTTGTATTCTTAAACACAGCTGCTTTGTAGTTAGAAAAATGTGTTCCAGTAATCATAGAATCATAGAATTTTAAGGGTTGGGATGGACCTTACAAATCATCTAGTCCACACCCCTCCTGCCATGGACAGGGACACCTCCCCACTAGACCAGATGGTAAGTGAGTCTGTTTTGTAAACACATTGAAATCCAAGAATTTGCTTTTGTTTTTGCAGGTTTCCTTTCGTAGGTGGATTGCTATGGCTGCATGTGTTCTAAAATTTCTTCTGATATTTGAGCTTTTGAGTTTTTCTGAAAATGCACTTTCTAGCACAGTATTGAATGAGGAGGCTTCTATTTATGAACTGGATAGAAATTGATGCAGTGATGTTTACCTGCAGTTGGGAAGAGTAATACACCCATTTGCTGCAAACTGATTTTGATTCTTAGCAGTTTGCTTTTCCCTAGAAGCAAACCTAAGATGCCAGTTAACCTGAAGTGCTCAAACAAAGCTGCCAGAATACCACAGGGTTTTCTTCATAGTTTTTGTATGCAGTTTCAAGTGATATTATAAATGAGTATGTTTTCTTTACTTTTCTATAGCACTGTAGATAATTGTTTGCAAGGAAGTGCAGTCCTTTCACACCCTACTGGGGTCCCACCCCAGTGCCCACATAAGGATGATATTGTCGATTGGATTGTTCTTTGCCTAAATACCTTATTTTCTCCTTCCTTGTAGACTATTACAGAAAACTGTTTTGTGACACAGGGAGGGGTCTTATGCTCTTGGCTTGTGCCTTTGTGGTCTGCTGAAATGGAAGTTTCTGTCTACCACAGAAGCATTCAGGTGACCGGAAAAGGTTTTTCTATGAGAGCAGCCTCTCTTTTTAATATGAAGTTGTTAACTAGCTGTGAAAATGGGTCCAGCCTACTTCTTCTGGATACCCGGGCTCCCTCCTTTCCCAGGGGTGCTCTTGCTCTGCTTGTAGCTGCTGGTCAAAGGGCAGGTCCCATGTGGTAGTGTAGTCCCTTTGTGTGAAGATGAGCCTTCCAGTTGCAGTCCCTAACTGGCTGCATGCCAGCATAGTTGTTGGCAAGAATCCATTACCCTCTTTTGGAGGGTAAGCTAATGCTGTCTTGGGTTTTAAGCCAGGCAGAGTCCAGATCTCTATTCTCTCTTACGCTGCTAAGTTTTAGCTCTTCTAATGCAGGGTAACTTATTGCTGGGCATGCTGCTCTGTTACTCCTGCACCCAGGTATTTAGTACTGACACCTTTTGAGTACCTGGTGCAGCAGCTTCTTTTTCAGTCATAATTTGTATTCCTGTTGGATTGCATGCTTGCATTAATGAACTATTACATAAGGTCTTCCATGGGAAAAGAAGGGTGATAACTCATGTGGGAACAACACTGTCAGAGCTCATGTGGAAACAGCAGTGCCACCAAGAGTTAGCGGGGGATTCTCATTCAGACCTAGAGTCATGGACCATTAATAAACACCTTTACTTCCTCACTGATAAATTTTGAGATTCTGGGAAATTCAGTTTCCTTACCAATACAACTATTTTATGTTGTTTATATCATCTGCATGGCCTGCATCACTTGGATAGAAGGTGTCTTTGTTCTGCAAACACATGTCCAAAAATCTATACTCTGTGCAGCAAAATAACTGGTTCAAAATGTAACTGCCTTTAAAACTGCATAAGTGGCATACATGCAATGATAATTTAATATTGACTCTTATACATTGTATTCATCTGTTATGTCTAAACAGCCTGTAATTAATTAATAAGTCCCTTGATTAAAAATTTGTTCTCATTTCAGGTATCAGCCTGTCCCCATCCAGTCCCTCCCCCCAAAAAAAGGGAAAAAATATCTTACTGAATTTCTACAGTTGCTTCTCAGAGTTTTTGCTTCTGTTTGAAGATAGTTCTCATTTCTTTTTATAAAGATCTTCTTTAGCCACTAACTCGTTATTTTGGATAAATGCTTTTGTGGTACAATCTTGTAATAGCAGGACACCCC